GGCACTCATGGTGACCCTGAGGTATGCTTACTACTTACTGTCAGTATATAAATGGGGAACAGGTGGGTTCATAACTGCCAAGGTCACACCGGGCTTGAACACAGGCCGTCTGGCGCCAGCAATGAACACTAGTGTTCTATGATTTACCTGCATAACTGCTGTCTGAGCTAAGATGCCCAACCCTGACCCTTGGCGGCCTTTCAAACCCAGGCAAATGAACCACTCTGCACCTCGGTTTCTACATCTATAAAGTGCAGGTGATAATACGACCTCCACAGGTCTCTGGAGAACAAGAGCGGGGCTTTGCTGGGTCTGTGACTGGTTCAACAAAGGGAAGCGAGGCTTCTCGGGCCTTGATTTGACTTGTTTCTTCAAGTAAAACGACAGCTGAAGCCTTAAAACCATGAACTTCAGTAAAAGAGCTCCACAAAAATATTGACTAGTTGTCTCTATGTGCTGGGACTGTGCTGGGGACACTGAAAAACTTAAGTAAGACTTGGTTCTTGTCCTCGAAGAAACTGAGTCTCTGGAGGATTTTGTTTTACATTCAAGTGGGTGAGAATCAAAAAGAAAATTTCATAAAATAAGCTGAAAATGTAATGAAGTAAGTTAAACCCTATATCAGATAAATGTTCAATAATCACTTAAAAAGATGCGATATTAGCAGGTGCATGATGGAAATAGGCCCCACCATTTATATAAAAATTAGCTTATGACAAAGGAAGAATCATAAATTAATGGGGAAGATTATTCAACATATGATGATTGAGATTAGTTTACTAAATTCGGGCAAAATGAATTTAAATCCTTACCACAAGCCAGTAGCATGGTAAATTATTGATGAGTTAAAGGGGTATTTTTTAAAACCTTAAAAAAATCTGCATGCAGATAGAATTGAACATTTATCAAACTTCTGCTTGAGGGGTGAGAGAGTAATTTTCTAAACTTGGAAGAAATAAAAGAAAATCACAAAAGTAACAGATTTTTGATGACATAATAATATAAAGCTTTTGAAAATATAAAAGGGAAAAGACTAAATCAGAAGCGAAACAAGAGCCTGGGGGAACTATCTATAGCTAGGCTAGCACAATAGAAAAGGGGCCATTATCTTCAGAACAGAAAGAGTTCGTACAAATTGAAAAGGAAAATATGAAAACCCCAATAGAGAAACGGCAAAATTCATGAATAAAAAAATACAATATGAAAGCAACTTATAGAAAAGACTGCCCAGCCTCCCTGGAAATGCAAATAAAAATAATGAGGTCCATTCTTTGCCTGCTAAATGAGCCACCACTAATGCAATTATAATACCCGATGCTGGTGGGATACTTCCGGTAGTGCTGTGGGTTGGTACAGCCCCCTGAGAAGGAATCTAAACATATGTATCATGAGTGAAAAAAATGTTCATACCCACTGAACTAGTGATATCACTTATGGGAAACTATTCCATGGAAATAACTGAGAATATGAAAAAAAGGCCTTCAATATATTAAGAAGATCCCAGCATTATCTGCAATAATGCAAAACTGGAAGCCATCCAGACACCCTGGGAGAACGTTCCCCTCACAGCCTCCAACTCTCAGAAGAGAAATACTAGTCACAGAGAGAGGTGACAGATGACTATCCTTTGCTAAAACGTCCCCTCCCTCCTAGTCTTTTAAGAAATATAACATTTCCCCCTTATTATAAAAAGGCCCATATGCTTGTAAATTTAGCAAGTACAGTTTAGAAGAGAAATTGTTTAAACCTATAGTCCCATCACCCAGAGACAGGGACTAACCACATAAACTTCTGATATTTTACTATATGTATCTGTGCATCCGTTACACATATTTCTTTTTAAAAATGAAATGATACTGTATATCTCATCTTATAGCTAGCTACTTTCAAAATTAACAATACGACATTAATATTTCCTTGCAATTATATGATCTTCCATTATATCACCTGAATTGCTGTACAATATTAACCTGAAGGATATACTGGGGTATATCCTACTGCTAGACATTTAGGCTAGTTTGGGTTTTTGTTGTTGTTTGTTTTTACTGTTAGAAATGATGATGCAAGGAAAATCCTCATAGCCAAATGTCTGTACTCAGTTACAATCATTTCCTTAGGCTAGATTCCTACAAATGAAACTCATGGATCCAAGGATATTCAAACCACAAAGGTTTCTGGGGGAGTGAGAGGGCAGCCTAGAAACCCAGGAGTGACAATGGGACCCAGGAAGCTGCTGTGGTACCACCTTCTGCCTCTCCCTCTTGCCATGAATGCAGATGTGACAGACAGAGCTTGAGAAGCCATCGTATCACCACGAGGGGAAGGCCAATTAAAGAAATAACAAACAGAACCCACAGAGCCCTCAGACCCAACATCACAGAACCACTGAGCCCATACTGGCCACGCTTGACTCTGGATTCTCTTCCGTGTGAAAAGAATAACTATCTGCGTAAACACGGTGATCAGGTTCTCTGTTATTTGCAGCCAAAAACATTCTAATGAAAACATTATCAAAATAATGATTAATACCTCCCACTTTCAAAAAAAATAAATTGGCCCTCAAATCAGGTCACAGGAAGGTATGAGACAATATTCTACAAGTACGCTGAGCCAACAAAGTGAACATAAGGGTACACATTTGAATGACAGATAAAATAATTGAAATAGGTCAAAAGCAAATAGCACATGTGTGTCAGGGTTTGATGGCTCCATCACAGAGCGCTGGCACCCCCATCCTGAACCACTCCCCTTCATGGCAAAATGTGTCTCCTTCTGTCTGCCATGAAGGGCATGGAACCAAATCTAGCACAGCGACATCTCAAGGTCAGATGCCAGAAGCACGGTGACATCTCAAGGTCAGATGCCAGGAGGAGTCTCAACTTGTACTGCTGGCTCACTCTTTCCTTTGCTTCCCCTTCCTTTTGTCTCTTTTCAGAAGCTCTTCTGCCTTTTTTCAGAACATGCGTGTCCCCTTTCAACATTCTTCAGTGGGCGGAGCGATCACGTCCTTTCCATGGGTAGACAGGCCTGGGAATAGGCAGCTTCTCTTATTTTTAGAAAGCCTATCTAGAGAGTAGCGCGTGTCCCCATAATACTTTCTGGGTTGTGGTGTAAAGTAGTCCTTACAATGGAGGTGGTACAGATCAAGGTATCTATTTTCCTTCCGGGGGTGGAGAGAGAAGTGTATATGAAACGTTCTCCAACGAGAATATCCACACTGGTGTTCCTTTTTCTAGCCTGGTTACAGTGTTTGATTACCAGGTCCCCTTTCAGGTCTGTGGGTGGTTACTCTGTGGAGTCAGGAATATCCAGCCACAGCTGTCCCCTCAGCAACACGCCTCGGGAACCCTTCAGGTCCAGGCTCCTCCTTGCCAGCTAATTGCCACTTGTCCAGACTGCCAGCCTCACCTCACGATAATTTATCAGCGTGTGGCTAATCTTCCCTTCAAAGAGAAGGGGAAAGTTGATTTGAAACATTTTGAACAAAGGAGACACCTGAGTGCTTATCTGATAAGTCTCTGTGACAATGGCAGGCCACAGTCACAGGGCAGGGACTCCAGCCCCTGGAGGAGATGGAGTGACTTGGGGGAAGACTGGATGCTCCTCGTTAATGAAAGGACAGCTTGTGTCTGGGGAAAAGCAGGAGTGGCCACACTGGGAAGCAGGTGCAGCCCAAGGTCTCTGCAGCGCTCAGAGGCACAAAGAGCTGAGCTTTAATAACTTGTTCTGATTTTTGTTTTGAGTTCTTCCTTCTTTCGAGTCTTTTCATTGAAACTTTCCCTTTTATCCTTCCGAGCTACTTTGATTCCTCCAAAGATTGAAGAAGTTTTCCAGGCAGCTGGCAGTGATTCTCTCAGACCATCTGGGGCCTGTGAACTCTGGCCCTGGGAGGCACAAGCCAGCCTGTCTCTGACAGAAGCCTCCCCATCTAGGCCTTCCCCGCAGTCTGAGGCTTCAGCCCCATCAGTCTGGACATGAGGTGGGTGTGGGAAGGGGCCACTTGGCAGGCAAGGGGCTGTCCCACCCCCTTTTCTCCCCCACCAGGGACTAATTCGGGGTGGAAACAGAGGCAGTCCCATGGCTCACAGACAGAGATTCTAGTATCATTCTTTCAAGAAATCACCATCCTACTCATATTTGCTTCTGTTTTACGTAAATTCCCTCTGGTCCTCACAGCACCTCTTCATTTCAATAAATGGCATCACCATCCATCCGGAGGCCTGGATTTTCAACTGTCCCTTGGATCTGAGATACTCTGACATTCTTCCAGTAAGTTCCCACATCACGTAAACTAGTCAGTCTTGCTCTCAACCAATACATCCTTATAACTACACAGGACCCTCCCATCACCCTCAAAGGGAATCTATTTTCCTGACACAAGCTTTCGGCTCCTTCCATCGGGTGCGTGAGAGCTCTCAGAGGCCATCAGTTTGTTCCCTGAGATCTTGGGGTCTCCGAGTCCGTGGTTAGTCATGATGTGATCCCCGACACCTCTCTAGGCATCCACATTGTGTCCTAGACCCTTTGGAGAATCAAATCAAAGCTATGAACCCTCTCCCTAGGAAAAAAGCAACACACACACAACACTGTGTGATATCTTAAAGGGTGTGGGGACTCCAGGTTAAGAACTGCTATTAAGTGTCACCTTACTTCCTCTAAGGGCTCCAACCAGAGGGTCCCCAACATTAATGGCTGACACCCCGGGCACAGGGAGCAGGGGCTGACGTGTGAGGATGGAGGACTGGCAGAGCCGCTTCCTGCTGCTGCGGCCTCAGGCTCTGAAGTGGCACAGGTGTCAGATATGTTTTCCTTCCCCCAACAACACTCCATTTTCAAGGAACCTAGTATTTCTAAAAGGTCATCAGGTTGGTAGCCCTGTGGTGCCAGAAGGGGTGAAACTGAAGGCAGAGAGGAATCCTGCTCGATCGCTCAGTGGGCGATGACCCGTGACAACAGCCTCCGACACGGCATGTACTGTGCTGTGCAAAAAACCACGTTACCTTTGTCAGCTGCTGCTCCGACGAAAACCCCAAACCAAACACTGTGTTGGCTCTGCTGTCGGCCCACTGCCCAAACTTCTGCGACGTTTTGGTGAAAGTCATATTGGGTGTGATTGTGCTGTTTATAATCACCTGCAGGGAAAGAGCCCAGAGAGCAGAAATGTCAACACTGAATTAGACACCACAGTGGCTGCTTACAAAGTCTTCTGTCGGCAAAGCCAGGGACTGAAGCTTAAAGCAGGGCCGTATGCTCTGTCACATCGGTCCTGACTTCTTCCTCTTTTGGCTTCTCCCATGCTGAGTCTGATACGCAACCATGACGAGGGGCAATGTCAGAGACTTACAAACAGACAGTCAGCTTAAAATAAGATCTTAAGTTATCAGTGGGAGAAAGTCTCTCCAAGTATAGTTCCCCAAACTGCTATTTATTCCCCCAAAGCTGCCAGACACCCGATTGCCTTCAATGGCCAGCCATGTCAAACGCTCTCTGAAGAAGTGCATGGTGCACCCTCTTTAGCACCTGGAGCCCCAGTGTCTAGCTCAAACAACTTCAAGTCTCCATAAGCAATGGGCTTGCTGCTTCCCAGCAGGAAGAAAAAGATTCACCCCAATTAGGATAATTTGTAAAGGGTTTAATTTACAAAGAGACTAATTATACAGGTGTGAGCTGGGTGAAGCAGACCTGGAAGGGACAGTACAGGGACCAGGTGCTGGGTGTCACCCCTCCTTGGCCTAAAAGGATGAGGGAATGAAAAGGCTATAGAATGTGCAAGGAGGGTCATAGAAAATAGACTGCTGTGACAGGAGAGGTGACCTTCTATTGAAGGACACATGAGCACATGGGGACCTCAGAGGAGGGGAGCCAGTGGAACAAATATCCTCGCCTGTTTCCCTCTGATCTGCCATTGGTCAAACCCAAACAGAAGCCAGAGGCCCTGGGAGCCTATTGATGTGACCTGCAGGTCAGCCTCTCAGGGGCCAGAGCAGGATGAAGAAGGGTAGAAAACGAATCTAAAGGGGTCAGAGGATGATATCATTCATTCATTCAACACACATTTACTACATGCTGGGGGCTCTACCAACCAAAGTGACCAGGATGACTGAGTCGAGATTCCTGGTCTTCAAGCTGCAGGTAGTCAAGAAGAGGGTAGAGACGGGTAAATAAAAAGTCACCAAACAACTGATGTGTTGTCTGTAGCAACAGTAGGCTCACTCTGGCAGACATTCTTGGAAGCCGTAAGACTCTAAAAACACTCTAGAAAATGCCCTTGGAAATCAGGGATTCTTGGAAGTTTGCTAATGGGCATAATCCACTGATTTTTTTATTATCTGAGCAGGAACAGTAGCAATCTAAGTAAACATTCTAAAGAGTTAATCTACTAGCAGTTTTACTGATGAAGGCTATATTTATTCTCAACAGTAAACTCAGAACATTTTTCTTTTAAGTGATAAACCAGGGAAGAGAAAACATTGTAGAATGGCACAGCCTTGCTTTCCTTGGTAGAAACTTCAGTCAATCATTTTACTAAAGGGGAGACCTTCTGGACACAGATTCTACCGTAACAAAGCGATCAAGGCAGTAAGTTATAGTTGTCACCAGTAATAAAAGTGTCACTGTGATGTATATATGCAAGATCCTACTGAGTCTGCTAACGAGGCATTAGCTCAAGGATAAACCTTAGTTTAGTTGGTAAAATAATTGTTAAAAGTTAATATTAATAGCAGCAACCACTATTGATGGAGCATGTTTTGAGAGCTTTACTGATATCAGCTCACTTAAAACTCACAACAAGGCTAACAGGTATGATGGTCACCTTCACTTCATAGAAGGAGAAATGGAGCTGGTAAGAAGCAGAAGAGAGGTCATCATATAAAATGAGAAGTAAGCCTCCGTAGGACCCGTAGGTCTCACCTCCTCACCCCCACCGACCCCCAGGAAGTCCCTCTTACCCACACACCTGCACTGAGCACTTGACACTGGAGACCTCGAACAGACAAAAGGTCAATTCACACCTGGAACACAAATTCCCAATCTGTAGGAACTCTTCTTAAGAATTTTGAAATGAGGTGCCTCTGTCCCCCGCATTCCCTACTGATATGCCTGCTCTGTGGGGCCTGGGAAGGGGGTTGCTTTGATCCTGGTTCAGCACAGCTACCTCTCACTCTGTCACCAGCATCAAGGTGCAGGCATTTACCAAACAAGACTATGGAATCCCACAAGCTGGAGGTCAGCCAAGAAGATAAAGGAAAGCCCGCTCCCTTCACAATGATGCTGTTGCAAGCCCTCAGGCTGGTTCCTGCAGGATTTGCAATGCCCGGGCTCGCCAAACATCTTACCAAAGTCCCATTTTTGGAGCTTCCTAGATCCAGAGGGGAGGAAGAAAGGGGAGGAGGGAGAAGAAAGGGGAGGAAAGCCATCATTTATTTCTACGCTATCCTTTACATTGCCAAGACTCACCAGAAGTAGCTGTGTGAACAATCTTTAAGCCCCTAACAGGCCCATCGCTACAATTAGTGAGACAACTGGCTGGCCACTCTCCCAGGAAATCCAGTGCACTGACCTTCTCAGAAGCAGCAAGACTGACAGCAGGAGCAATCGTGTTGTCAAAGAAGGTCCACCCGGACCTTCTGCCTCCACTTCCCATGGACAGGGCAACTCCAGCCTGTGCGAGACTTGGCTCAGCCTACCAAGACTAGGTCCTCCTGGAAAGCTGGGCTTTTCGAGAAGCTTCTAAAAATACGCTCCTGTATGTGATCCTCTCACATCCCCAAGTCATTTCCAGCTAACTGCTCTCACATCCCCAAGTCATTTCCAGCTAACTGCTCTCGCACCTGGAATCTACCTTAATGCTTCTGTTTCTCTTTGAGGCTCTGACTCATTTCTGACTCCCACCCCCCTCAGCATGAATGAAGGAGTGAAATAAAGTGGATGCTTACAAAAAGACCTTTTGTCTGCTCTGGAAAAGACCTTTTGTCTGCTCTGGGTCTGCGGTGGTGAGTACCCTAGCCAGGTGTGTGGGTAGCAGGGACATTCTGGGGGTGAGGAGATGGGACCTGAGGGAGGCTTAATTCTGGGCAGGTGACTGGACCTCTGTTTTGTGAGACTGGTGAGATGAGGTCGGCTTGGTTTCATAAATTAGAAGCTCCATTTCACTACTTGTGTGGAAACTGCATTACCAGCATGAGTATATGCACCAAATTCAAACTACATCTCATGAGGCCAAGGGCGGGGCGAGGGTGTGGCGTAAGGAAGTGGGGCAATGGGAACTCAAAGACTGGCAAAACCACTTTGAAAAAACGATAAGGCTTTCTTTGATAATATTAAAAATGCACGTTCTCTGCCTGCCACTCAGTAACTCCAGTCCTAAGTGTATACCTGGAAGAAAGCTTTGTGTAGATAAACCAGGCGACAAGGACAGCAATATTCACAGTAGCAGTGTTTGCAAAAACAAATGCCCACCAGCAACAGAATGGACCAACTGTGGGACATTCACCCCATGAATTGCTACTCAGCAGGAAGATGAGCCACAGTGTAGGTGTCAACATGGATGAATCACAAAAACTTAAAGCAAAAAAACCCAAAAGGAAGTCACAAAAGAAGACATACTGTAGGGGTCTCTGTATGCTTCTATTTATATAAAAGCCAAAACCACACAAAACTACATAACACATTATTTAGGGCAAGGGTCCATGAACTAGCATAGCCCCCTAGCCAAATCCAGCCTGCTTTCATAAATAAAGTTACTGGCACACAGCCACAGCCATTCGTTTACATACTGGTCTATGGCTGTTTTCTTGCTACAAGAGAAAAGCTGAATTGAACAGCTGCTACAGAGACTATACAGCTTATAAAAAAATGACTATCAGGCCCTTTAGAGGAAAAGTTTGCCAACCTCTGGTTTTGGGATATATACACAGGTAGCAAGATTATAAAGCAAAGTAGGGGTGCTTAATACCAATTTCAAGAGAGTGGTAACGTCTTGAGGGGGGATCGGAAGAGCATATAGTTAGGGAGAGCCCCAGAAAGGACTCTGAAGGCCAAGTACAAGATGGACTTCCTCGCTTGGGTGGCGGGTACATGAGTGTTCCCATGATTATTGGATGTTCAACAGTCCAGATGAGCAGTTAAAAACACAAAAAACTATAACACAGTTATGAGAGAGGCTAGTCTTCAGTGAGATGAGGCTCGTGAGAAGAGGATGTGGTGTCCTGCACACTGGACACTGGGAAACTGTGTTGGGGACAGAGGAAGTGGCTGGAACTGCGGATTCCGGCCTCTGGGGAGAGGGGGACTCAGCAGTCTATGGGGTCACAGGAGTGGAGGATGTTGCCCAGCAGGAAGGGACAGAGGGACAAGAGAAGAGGCCTAGGTAGAAAGCATCAAACAAGGCGGTGGGGAGTCAGCGGGGAGCGTGGAAGAGCGGGGTCCTGCGTGTTGAGGGGGGCATGCTGAAGGGGGCCACTGCAGCAGGATGAGAACCGGTGCCTCGCTAGGGAGCAGGGAAGGTGAGGGTGTGGGGGACAAAGGGAAGCCCAGACGGTGCTTTATGTGAAGCTTTCAGGTGGGCTCCCCCGGCCTGTGCACACCCCTTCCTCTTTTGTGAGCCATCGGTGAAACTTCCATGGAGGAAACAAGAACCAGCTCCTGCCGATCCCCGGGACCATATTTTCAGAAAACGCACAAAACACACGTCACAAGAGCTACTTGGATGAAGCACAAAGCTAAGCTCCTCCAGTCTCTGGTCCTGCCCTGGACTTTAGAGGAGGCTGCTTGTCACAAAATGGGAATCAGCGCCCCCGGGTTCCTCTTCATGGAAAGTCTTCCCCAAAATCCAGCGAGATGGAGGTTGCAAGAACGTGGAAGTTTTCCACAAGAGGCTGGGACAGACTTATAGCAAGGAAGAGAAGTTCCTGGGTTCCAGAGTAGGTGTTAACAGGTGCTTTTTTCCTTTGTTTTCCACCACAGTCAGGGACGAAAAGAAACCAACACTCATTGAAAACCTACTGTGTGCTGAAAACCTTCCATATGCTTGCTCCCTAACAGAAGGCACCTGTGTTTATGCAAAAGAGGAAACTCTAGTGGTGGGTGGAGGACAGGAACCTGGCTGTGTTCTTGAAAACAATTTCACATTCCCAGAAGGAAATACCAAAGGAGTCAGGTTTCAGAGGTATATCCACTGAGTTGGCATGAGTAGACAGTACCAGCTACACAGTGGGTGCTGCTACATAAATGTAGGATGGGTGACCTCTAAAGTCTCTTCCAATATAGGTTCCTGTGATATAAATAACCGAGACCAAGGGCAGCAGAGCCATCCAGAACCCCAGGGAGAAACATCTGCTCCAGGCAAGCCTCGTCTACAGGTGTGGGCCATTCCTCCCAAGGACAGCAGTGATTAACTGGGTCTGTAAGTGCCAACACACAGCGAAATCAAGGGCTGCGAAGGCTCCACTAACAAACGTCCTAGAAATGGGGTCCTTTATTATGGGTGGGTGGTTCTGCCTGAAACTTGCCATAAGCCATACAGCTGTTGGTGCTGTCATGGTCTCATCAGAGCTCCAGGAAGCTGGGTTTGCAAGATGCCTTCATGTGGCTCCCGTCTGTCCATGCACAGGGCCGATCCTGGGTGACATTCTGAGATTCTGATCCTGGTTCCCTCTTGGCGGTGACCCTACCCCTGCCCACTGTCCCCCTATGGACATGGCCCACCTGCTGCAGGCCAGGCCTGACTTATCGCCTACTCACTGCCACACCCACTTCTGTGGCATTGCCCATCCTTGTTCTGTGCTGGGACTCCAAAGACAAGCCAGACCTGGTCCCCAATCCTCAAAGAACGCAGTCCCTGGGCAGCCCCATGCACAGAAATGAAAGGGATTTGGAGGCGGGGCAACGCTGGGGCGACGCACCACGGTATTCCCAAGCTTGTGCCCTGAGTGGCAGCTGGGACTGCCACGGAAATACGTTCTCAGAAAAAATGAAATGTCTTGGTGTTTTAGGAAGGCTGTCCTCGGAGAAGCGGCACTCATTGCGCTCAGGGTTAAGGAGAGGCCTTCCATGCATCCTTCCCCAAGGAAACATGACAGATGGCTGGACGGGGCAGAGGAGCTTGCTGTGCCCTGTGTGGAATGACAGCTGCTGGAGTTGCTGGCTGCTCCTCCCTTCTGCCCCATTTGACTCAGCTGCTGAGTGTGCTGTGGCCTCTGCTCCCAACGACCTCCAAGTCCCTGCCACACTAGCAACTTGTTAATGAAGGGTGTCCCCTCCTTCACTAGGGAGCGGGAAATAGGCTTCCCGTCCCAGCCAGGGCAGCCCCTGCCTTGGGAGGGTCAGCTGGCCCAGAAGCACAAGCAGAGGCACCAGGTCATGGATTTGATGAGGCCAAGCCAACAGAGAGGCAGGACCCGGGCCCTAGACCCACCCTAGAGCAGAGGTACAGAACATGGGTCAGGACACAGCCCTGGAAGCTAAAAGCATCTTATCATCTGTCATCTCAGTTCAGAGCAACATTTGGGGTCAAAGGCCTACACCAAAGGGGGTTGTCCCAATGTGGCGGGACACACACTGGGGAAGCCGGGGTGGGGCGAGGGTGGCACGGGCAGCAGACAAGAGCCCTGTCAATGCTTCAGCTCAAACGTACTCTGCCCTATTCAGGTCCCTAGGAAGGAAAGAGATCCATCTGGTGTATGCAGGTGGGGCACAAGCTGGGGCTAAGGGTTTAGGAACTTGGCCTTGGGTAGGGACGGGGAAGCCGCAGAGACCAGACAGTGGCAATAGCTGCTGTCACCCTGGGGAGGTCCACTTCCCCATAGCACACCTGACCTGTGGAGCAACTGGCGGCACCAGGTCTGATCTATACCTGGGCTGCTGGTTTTACATGCTGCTGCTTGCCAGCTCGAGGAAAGGTCCAGGGGGGCTGAGGTGGCCTTGGGACCACCACCTGGTGCTCTGTGCTCCAGTTCTCAGGGCAGGACACTTGCCCACAAACCTAGGCCCCAAGTGCCAGTCACAGTAATTAAACAACTAGGGCCTGTCCGTCCTCACCTCCCCCTTCTGTTCCCGCACAGGACCCTCCCTTTTGCAGAATGAGGCACCGCCACAGGTCCTGTGCCCTGGGGGTAAGGCAAGAATCCTGGGTGGGCTCCAGGAAGAGCAGGTGGCCAGGCGCCACAGAATTCATGTCTGAATTCGAGGGGTGCCCCATGGCCTGGGAATCCGATTCCCACTTAAGTGACTCCGTGACTTGACGGAGCCCACACTGAGCCTTATTCTACAGTGAGAGGCCAGCCCACCTTCCCACCCCTCTGATTTCTCAGCTGACTCATCCAGCCCCGGACCCCAGCATGCTGTCACAGCTCAGGACTGAAGAGCCGCACTGTACAGTGGCTGGCACTTGGACAAATTACTAAAAGCCCAGCTAATAGGACTGAAGTACTTTCTCGAAGAAAGTCATTTTATCTACATTTAATCCCTATCTATCCTTGGATAACTCAATGACAACAGGGCGAACTCGTCTCACTGATGGCAGGTTAATTGACAGAATCTATAGATAAAAGACAGCCGGTCAGCTGGATTCTCCACCCCTATCAGGACATCCTGGCGGTATGATAATGCAGCTGCAATACCACCAAGACTCCGAGAAGAAAAAAATACAGGCACCTTGCAGATACTCAATCCTCCAACACAAGCTACCTACCACGTGCCAGCACCTTTACGCATCATAATGCTTGCCAGACCCTTCCACGTCTTACCATCCTGCCTGCATAGATGAGAACACCAGCTCCTGCATCTCTCTAGATGTGCTGGCCAGACCAGCCCTTCCACCTGAACACCCTGCCTGCACCATGTGGCGTCAGGACACGCTCCTCCACCAGCCAGGGGCACCCTGCTCCAGCCTGAAGGCAAGGAGCTTTGTCTGAGGCACTGGGCACAAGCACCAGCCTTCCAGGCCAGGTTACTGCCTCTCCTTGACCTCAGCTATACAACGAGGACTCTGGGCTCCCTTTCTAAGTAGGAGGAAAGAAGAGAAAGAGGAACATTGGGGCCAAGCTGCCTTTATCTACAGTCTCCATGATGCTGAGAGCACAGAGGAGGTGCTTAGAGAACACAGGCTGAGGGGAGAATTTTTCCTTAAAACAGGGAGTCTCATCAAGAGATCCGGAGGCACCAGGAGGTTCTCACACCTTTCCTGGGGGGGAGTCTTCAAAGGGAGACCTCCCAAGCCTTCTGCTCCATGGTTGTGGATTTGTGGAAGGAGGAACCTACAAGCAGGCCCCATCCTACTATCTAGCCCCCTGTTTCCAACTGCCTAAGAGTGCTGACCTAGAGGCAGAGGGAAGGACAGACTGCAGGTGGGAGAGAAGGCCAGTTGGAAGGCGATTGCAATAGTCCGAGCAAAAATGTGCCAGGACAAGAGTTATGGCCTTGAAATAAAACATTAGGCATAAATGTGAGACACCAAAGACAGAGTCCACTGACAAACTATATATAAAAAGAGAATGACTCTGTGCCCTCCATCCTCCCTCCCTTTCTCTCTCCCTCTCCCTCTCCCTCTCCCTCTCCCTCTCTCCCTCTCTCCCTCTCTCCCTCTCTCCCTCTCTCTCTCTCTCCCCCCCCCCAAGTGATTGGGAAATGAAAATGACAAGGTAGTTTAGAGGGGAAATAGGAGAATTCAGCTTCAGATAGTTGAATTTCAGGTGACAACAGATAATCCATGTAAAAATGTCCACCAGGATGAACACAGTTTAAAGACAGAAAAGAAATTCTAAAGCAACAAGTTTACTTTATTTTTTCTTTGGTAAACTTGGTGATACTTCTATTGCTATCCTTTTCTTTTTATTGTGCTCTCATAATAATGTTGTAAAAATATTGAGGAAGACAGCAGAATAATGAAAGTACCAGGAAAAGAATTATTTCAAAAAATACTATAAAACCATTTATTAAAATTCAACTCCCATGCCTAATAACACCAAAATCAGGCTAGATATAATATCCAGTGCTGGCGGGGGTACAATAAACTGGAAGAAAGACCTCTTTGGAAAGCAATTTGGTAATATCCATTAAGAGCCATAAAGTGTTAATATTCTGACCTATCGTATTATTTCCGGAATCTATCCTAAGGAAATGTCCAACAAGAAAGCAATAGACATGTGATAATCAAATGAGGGTACTTGTTGCGTGAAGATGCTCATTATCTATTACAGTAAAAAACTGGAAACAGCTTAAATATCTAACCATGAAGGGACAGATTAAGAACATTGCAGGGCCTGGTGGAATTGTTACACAAGCACTGAAATGCTAGTTATAAAGACAATATGGCAACAGGGAAATGTTTTTTCTTCATTTTCCATAATTTTAAATGAAAAAAAAAGCAGGATATGTAATTATACAGACATTATAACAATAACATCTGTGTTAAAGTGGCAGGATTTGGGGTGCACCATTTTCCTTCCATTTTTCAAACGTATTGTATTGCTTCAGATGCTAACTAAGTGATTGAATTTGAAAGGCTGTAGGCATGTCGGTACCTTGGCTCCGTCCACACTGATGATCCGATAGGTGTTCCTGGTGACATCGTAGAAGTAGGAAACGGTGACTGCCTGCTTGCTCGCAGGCACCCAGTTCTTCTTGGTGATGGGGTCAATCTGGAAGACATGTGCTCGGGTGGTGAAGATGGGCTGTTCTCTGCAAAACGAGAGAGAGAGATGGGCGCATGAGTTGATGACACATGACTTTATGTATAATTGATTTCTAAGCCACCTACTACCCCCAAAGATTTTAATAGCTAATAGAGAAAGATACATATGCATGAGGACAATTAAAATAAGAAATGGGAAGAGAAAAAAGAGACACCATAGAAGTTACTGAAACCGAACACCCTCAGGCTGCAGAACAATTGGCCTAATAAGCAATTTGCTTAAAATGCAGCTCCTTGTCCAGAGTTTTTGCATCCCATCAAGTGTCCTATTCTTTTCCTGACACCCTGTTGGCATTTTTAGGATTTTGCAACAAATTTATTTTGGGAGGTTCTGCAACAATTTTAGGATTTTGCAAACCATTTGCAACTTCATATTATATTTCTATTAAGTACTTCTCTAATTCACAACTTTGTATGAGTGATGCATTCATTCATAATTGACCAAGCCTTAAAGTTTTATATTTCCAACTTATAAACCTTTTGAGTTTTATGTAAAATTCATCAAACCTATCTCTTTTGCTATTCTTGCGTCTGTTTTGTTGCTTTTTCACTCCACATGCCTGAACATTCTTAATGTGATTATTAACCAAGTTAGTACATTATCTGTTTGTGGTTAGTGGACAATTAATTAGATGTTGACAATAAGCATTAAAAGATAAGGCAGATGTATAAAAATTGTAATGGATTTCACTGCATTTCATATTTTAAAGGACTTATTTAACAAAGTAATACAAAATTAAACAGACTCATTACAAAATACTTATTTTTGGAAAACAGGTCTTCAGGCAAACTGGCTCAAAATCCTTTTAAAAGTGTTCAAAATACGATAAAATAAGGGGAAAAGGGCACCATGATGTAAAAATCATCCCATCATTCATAAAAATGCTAAATTTAATAAGCACTTATGAAAGATAAAAATTAAATCAAAAGGTAACTTACACAAATTAATTTTTAAAAATCCTTACAATGTCAAGAGATGACATAACAAAATAGGACACCCAAGTGGAGACAAAAAGAATCAAAAGGGAAAAAGTGAATGTTACATGTTCTGGTCTCTAGATGGAGTCGTTTTAGACAAAGCAGTCTTTGAGCCCATCCTGACTCTAGAAGGCTCATTACTGGGAAGAAAGCTCTTTCTAAGGAAACTTTTTCCTAGAAAAGCAATGGACTACTTGAGCCCCAAGCAAGGGATCCTGAACAGCACCGTGAATTCCAGCACCAACCATCAGCTGTGGCTGCAAAGAAATGCAGACACTGTTTTTATGACTATTTGTCTCCGTTAATGAAGCCAAGAGCGTGCCATGTGTGCCCTTTCAACGCAGCTGTTTCTTGAGTGTGGCTTTCCAGAATGCACAGAGACCAGCATTCCTTGCCCCTGGATCTTTCCTTCTAGATTCGGGGAGCAGGACAAGTGCTTCTGGGGATGTGGGTTACTAGGTTGTTTCTCTTCCCTTGCCAGTGACCACCGAATCAATCCTAAACAGACACCCTTCCAGCAGCAGGGTGACAGCTGTAGAAACCAAAGGAATAGTGCCACTGTGATTTCCCGCATCTGTTGTGGAGAGGGCAGCCTGTGGGGAGCGTGGGAGCGCAGGAACACAAGCCCTCCTCAACAAGCTTGCACAGGCATTCTGACATCTGGACCCCCAGCTGCTCTGTGGCCAGCCTGGACTCCGTGTTTTGCTAATTATCCAAGGATCCCACCACAGAGGAAAACGCTGCTCACATGGTGTTGTCCTGCATATGTGGGAGGAGGGAGCGACTGGAAAGGCAGTCAGATAGAAGAGGTTTTGAAAGAGATGGATTATGTTAAAATCTCTGCCCCACCTGTTCAGAGCACTTCCACGGGAGGGGCCACCTTTCAGACCTTGTGTCCTCCACACCAAGGAAGAGAGATGGGGTCTGGGTTTCAGCACCCTTAGACCTCTGACAGCAATTAGCTGGGCACTTCCGCTAAAAATACAAGTTCCCAGGCCCCAGCCTGGCTGTCAGGAACCTGGCTCTCCAGGGAGGGGGCCTGAGGAGCTCCAGGTGACTTTTATCCTCAAGGAAGCTGGGGAGGTACTCACATTACATATTATCAGATGATCGAGAAAAAAATGGAAGAAGTGACAGCTACAGCTGGCATCTCTCCTCCAGAATGACACAGCTGACACATAGAATGACTCCAGAATGTCCTCCCACAGCCAGCAGGGAACAAAGTGGGACCACGAACAGGATCTCTGGGTGCAAAGGAGGGGGAGAGGGGCGAGGGGAGGGAGAGGTGTTCTGGTCAGGAAAGAGGGTAGCTATGGTGGGCAAGCAGTGACCTTCTGCAAGCACCCCGTGTCTCTGAAACCCACAGGGGTGAGAAAGTGAAGAAAGTAAAGCAGAGAGAGACAGGAGAAGCGACAGGGGAACAGAGAAGATGGTGGGGCTTTCTGATCAGGGATGAGCAAAAGCAGTGGGTCATCTGCTTGGCACAATTCTGGTCATGGTGAGCCTGCAGACAAGAAGGGCCCATCACCAAAGCTGCTTCCATGGGTCTGGGGATGGACCGAAGCCATCTCAGGTTGCCCTTGGGACCCCAACAAGAAATGCAATTTGTTGGGAGAGCACAGTGGACTCAGCTGGCCACACCCTCAGTGGCTGTGGCCCTGGTCACCATGGTCAGGACGACTCTACAGGGAAAGCAGCTGCTCCAGTGTGGGGAGAGGTACCAAGCCCTGGGAGGGGAGCTGCAGGGACTCCTGCCAGCCTCATGCAGAGGGCAGGCGCCCTGGGCCGAGCTATGGCCCTTCCGAGGCCAAAGACCAGTGCTCCTCAGTCCCGAGGCCCTGGGCAGCCAGTCTGGCAGCAGCTCTGTGCCTAGGAAACCACCCGTATGACTGAGATTTCCACACGCAAGTCTGAGGCCACTGGGGTGTTCTATTTTATTCTTCTCAAATTAAAAAATCTAACTGTATTTAAAGAAAAGGCAAAAAAGAGACAATGATAAAAAGAAAGCCAGTAGCTAATATTTACTGACTACTTATCATTCTGCCAGGCTTTACACGTGATCTCTCATTTGGGAACACAGCAATCTCATGGGGAAGGTGCCATACAGGAGGGGAAATGGGGGCGCAGAAAATCCAAGGACCTGCGCCTCAGGTTACACAGTTAGTAAGCAGCAGATTGGCAGAACTGAGATTTGAAGTCAGTGCTACATGACACAGACCCTCCCTTTAACCACTGTGCTATCCTCTCTCCCTAACTTAATAGTGTCTGGACTTGGCAGCTTCTGATGTGTTTCCCAATGACCCTGCCTCCTGGTGCCTTACACCCTTGTGCAATCCCCTCCTTGTGAGCAGGGGTGGGGCCTGTCACTTGCTTTTAACCAATAGAATATGGCAAAGGAGAAGGGATGTCACTTGTGCAAGCAGGTTGCATAAAATTGTGACTTCTGTCTTGCTGGCAGACTCTCTCCATTGACAGTCTCTCTTGCTGGCTTTGCTGAAGCAAGTTGCTAAGGTGGGAAGGCCCACATGGCAGCAATGGAGGGTAGCCTCCAGCTGACAGCCAGAGAGAAATGAGGCCCTTGGTCCAACACCCCCGAGGAGCTGGAATCCTGCCAACGATTGCTTGGAATTAGAAGTGGATCTTTCCACAGTTGAACCATCATGTTAGACCTCAGCCCTGGCTGACACCTTGATGACACCATATAAGAGACCCTATTAGCCATGCTTGAGCTCCTGACCCATGGAAATGTGTTTTGTTTTAAGCTGCTAAGTTTGTGGTAGTTTATTACACAGCAATAGGTTAACTAAGACATTGACCTTCACAGAAGTGTCCTATACACCAAGCAGACTGTATATATTCTCACTTAATCCTCTGGATGGGGACGTGGCATCATCCACATAGAAAATTGAGGCTCACAGTGATTTTAAGCCACCTGGACAACAAATCTTTACATCTTAGAACACTCTATAAACCTCACCACAAAATGCAGAAAAGCAGACCCCAATTCTGAAACAGCATCTTGCCTTACCTGAGAAAGTAAAAGAGCTGAAACTAGGACACAGAAGTCCGTTCCCATAAGTGTACAAATCAATATAAATAGAAAAATCCAAGAGAGGCAGAACTTTCAAAACCAGGAGGCCACCTTTCCTTCCCAGCAGGGAAAGCTATCAGAGAACAGAAACCACCTTCATACCCAATTTATTCTCCTCTCTTTGGTGTTCGAGGCCTAGAGAGTCTATTTCAAATAGACCCCCATCCCCTCTTCAGTGCTTTAAATAGAAAGCAGATGTTTCCACATGGAAAAACATTTCTTTAGGCAGACAATATAACCCACTGTTCCCTTGCATAGTCTTTTCAGAGCTGAATAAACACCAATTGCTGCTCACTGAACACATTTTGGAACCTGACAGTAATTGTCCCCAAGAATAATTAGACACTGTGCAACACATGTATGTTTGGAATATGAAAACCACTCGCTAGAGAGACCACTCTGGCTTAGAACAATTTCTGGCTCCGGGTGAAATGATTCTGTGAGGAGCTGGCATGACTACTTTCTCAATGAAAAACAAAAACAAAAATGAAAATGATGTTTTAATTTATCATAATCCCTCACTTGAAATGCTCAGCTCCAGGCTTTTTCTGATATGAACCTGTAAAACCTCACAATTTTTATTATTCCTACTTCTACCTGATTTGAATGAAAACAAACTGTTCTGACATTATTTTACAGCCTTTATACAGTGTTCCAAAGTCTCATAGGATGTTCTAATTAGCTTGTCTGCCCAGAGACTTGAACACCTCCAAACATCAAGCACAGAGCACCAAGAGAAGGGCTCCCCCAGCCTCGATGGGTAAGGCACTCACTGCCCACCCAACTTCCAAGGTGCATCAGAATGACTCACAGCCCATGACCACCTGGTCCGGCTCCCTCACCAGACGGGCTGGCTCTGCAGCCTTCCTGCGAGCACTTCAGAATCACTTGCATTTTCACATGACCATGACCATGCCC